CCCCCCTGACTTAGCCACAGTTCCTGTCATGAAGGAAATGAACCAATTTGACTCCAACTGTTGCTGAAGTATAACATTTCTGCAGTTCGTGACATATTCCAAAGTGCTTATTAACCTTTACACTGCCCTATGCTCAAAATTTCATAACACATCTAAAATCTAACTCAAAAGGGATTGCGGTCGGACATTTCAAAGCCTTATTTAATTGTTTTCCACGTGCCTTATTCAATTGTTCCACAAATGGTATCTTTCTTTCATCTATGCTTAACACACTTAAGCCTACATGAAAAGGGTTTCTCACCATGCTGAAATCAGATAGCATGAGTAATGGACAGCCGTGTACGACTATATGAGCCATAGATTACTACTTTGCACGTAGACCAAATACAGGCCAACTGACCCTCATAGCCAGATACCATAGTAAGGGTGTGCTGTTGAAGGACACTTGAAAAGGGCACGTCTATTCAACGTTTACTTAGCATAATTCCGCTAGGTCACATGCCACCCTGGAATAATTCCATCTAGAGAAATCTTCAATACAACATTCCCAACTATAACGCCCTCTTGTACATCTAAACTGTGCACACCTGGGGTGGGGGTTGCACTACAGATTTGTTTTTCAAAGTCACATATATTTCACCATCAGTGGATGAATGGAGGTTACAGGACTGGTATACATACTGTGATCTACAAAATGGGGTAAAATATGGAAGCGTGCATATGAGGAAAACAATTCAACCGGCATATCCTATGAAACATAGATTTTGGAGGATGTCCCTGCTTTTTTGTTATACATGTATTGTCCAATGTAGTCCCAAATTTAGTTGTCAGTGAAAAATGAAAGGTACCAGAAGGCTTATACATTGATTTAAAGAAATGAGACCTTAGGCCAGCACTCTGTATACTCCTCCTCTCCTTCCTCTGAGTGGGTGTGGTTCTCCATCTCTTGGTGGGCGTGGTCCCCTGTCTCTGGGTGGTCGTCTGAGCTGTCCTGTTGCCGCCATGTTTTAATGGCTCCACCCAACAGTCCGTGCACAAACACTATGTCTGCCCGGATAGGTTCCCTGTAAAATACACGCCAGAAAGATGGCAGACACTCAAAAATTCAGCCTTTTGAAATTCAGCCACATGCCTATGTGTGGCCTGTATGAGATTGATTTCTTTGCCAGAATGATGCGTAGGTAATGGTATTGTAGATTCTGGCAAAAGTTCAATCTTATATGGGCCACACAAGGACATGTGGCTGAATTTCAAAAGGCCAAATTTCTAAGTGTCTGGCTTTAATCTTATACTGATCCTTTCTTATATCTGGAGAAGGCTTTGTTGTTGTGAACAAAGTGTTGTTGTGATGTAAAACATCAATGTTTTCATGTTACATAATATTCTTACAAGTGAATTTTTTTAAACAAGGTCTCTGAATTACCTGTCCTTATGACTACTTTCTCTTTCAACCACGGACTTTGTTGATTGACTACTCAATGAAATGACTGAACTCTGATCCCACTTTTAACCCTTCAAGTGCTAAGGTTGATCAGAGCTAGCTTTTATTGATGGGTAACTGATGCTGAAAGCCTTGTATCTTTCCAAACTGTAAGAAACAGATTCAAAAATATTTTCCCCCTACTTTATGTGCAGCAGGCAGTTATGTTCAAGGTTACCCAGCAGGTATTTTGTGTGGCTATTTACACAGGTTTCTGCAGTGCCATGCGGATTCTGTACAGTCAGTACTCATTCAGTACCAAGGACATCACCAACATAATGCATAGCACAGACCTCCAGGGACCCTCTCTTGAATGGGCTACTCCGTACCTGCCATTTTATAGGTTTCCTGTCAAAGTGGTGGACTATCTAACGGTGGGATTAAAATCAATCCATAACTCTTCCCTGAACGGTATCTGTAGGGAACAAGATTGCTTCCCTGATAACCCTGACAAAAATTTGAAATGTCTGACTCTTTCCAAAATCTTGGTGGCTTGAGTAACACTTTTCTTGTGTATAACCTTGACCTCTTCAAGTTGAAGGTTCCACAGACGTCTTGCAAGATATTGCTAAAACTACTTTATAAGAAAATGATGCACAGGTCACCTCATTTTCTGTCTTCAGTTTCTTGTTAAGTTCATGTCTGTTGCTTTATGCAGATTTATACAAGTGTGAAATCTTTGATTTCTTGTTTTGTGGTGACTTTTATATAGTCATGTAAAAATAAATCATTATAAAAAGTTTATATTTATATTAACGTACATCTATACATTTATATAGTCATGTAAAAATAAATCATTATAAAAAAAAGCCATTTCATTACCTGCTGGGCATATCAGCTTTCTTGTATCCATCAACAGAATCTGTATCCATCACCAATATTCTATAAACTGCTCTTAACAATATCACACCACATTCACTTAGTACATTCCCTATATATAGATTCAGGCCTGATAGATGAAAAATGATTCATAACTCTGTGGCATTTACGGCCAGGCTAATATATATTCCACCTCCAATCTTTTTTTAAACCTATACTTCATTTCAGTCTTGACTGGGATCTATTCTCCCCAGCATCCAACTCAGGGCTTGAAATTCATTTTGAGGATTCAAATTGATGTACCAATGCACCTCAAAGAAAAACAATTGGGTGCACAACATAAGGTAAGTCAGCAAAACCTGCCAATACAGGTTTGAGGTTTTAAAAATTGCAACAAAGCTAAATGCTATACATGTATTTTGATTTTAAACATCAAGAACAGCAAAAAAGCTTTATCATTTTCCTGACAGTTAATGTCATGAATATGTTGTATACTGTATTTTTGATATGTTTAAGAACATGGCCCTACACAAATAGGCTATGTACACTGGTGCACCCAGTCAAAAGTTAGGTGCACCTGTTCTTTTTAATCATGAGCTACTAGTATTTGGTGAAAAAGTAAAAATACATCTGACATCAGCATGATAGGGAATGTACATTTATCTGTCTACTTGATACCTTTTTACAAAATCATATTGAACAATGAATAATACTAACCAATTAAGAACACAAAAAAATTCATGAGTGGGTGTTGTGACTATTAAGCTGCAGTATCTACCTATCAAGCTGACAAAAATAGAAATGAGATTGGCTAGACAACATGGTGATCAAGGAACACATATTTGCCAGTGAATGCAGAATATCTCCCTCCTTAGCTTTTCAAGAGGTGTAATCATGGCTTCACCACTATGTGTTTTTCCTCATGTTTCTTCTCCTCCTTCTCCTTCTCCTGCCATTCCTTTAAATTGATTCAACTCCTTCATTTATGGGCCAAATAACATGACATTTGGCATGAAGGTAGAGTGGGCAATACCCCCAGGTGTTTTTTTTTCCATTTTTGTGACACAGGCTTTTAAAATGGTCTTATTTGAGCTTTTTGGCTGTGTTATAGAAAATGTACTACAGCAGTGTGTTACCATATTTGGGCATGAGTCATCAGAATGGCATGCAGAGCAAGCAACCAATAGGCATGCAGCTTTCCTCTATTCTTCTTGCTGATTGGCTGTTAAGATTTGATTGGGTTAACTCTACTTTATGTAATGTTGTGCACTCAAAATCTTTTCTGATCTACCTTTTAGATTAGCTAGGTGTACCAGATCACCTGTTCCCAAAAATGAATTTCTAGCCCTAACCATTATCCTGAACTGACTCCAGCTGCATAACACAACCTTGAGACAACCTTGTGTAGTTTATCCTCAGGCTTATGAAAGTAAGTGTCAACAGGGGTTTTCCAGCCAATCCAGTACAAATTTTTGTGAACTTGCCAAGCCTAGGCCTATATCATAACAGGCTGAGTGGTATGTATCCATAAAAGTATACATGTGGTTCTTGTTATGCTGTCTAACATTGAGTGTTTGACTTCAGGGAAAGAATTTTTTTAAAACTCAGAAAGACTATCTGACATAGAATCATTCTATCTATTTATGAAGAACACTGATTACAAATTTGTTGGAAGAATTACATAACTCAGCACTTGAAATTCATTTTGTTGGAATAAATGCAAATTTGGGGTCCATCTAACCTAAAAATTTACTGTTAGGTGCACAACATGAAGTAGAATGTTAGCAAATTAACATTATTGCCTCTCTTCAGAACTTAAATCTAAAATCCTATACCTGACTTAAAAATTTTAAACGAGCAATACATGTAATATTGTTTTATAAAGCTTTTACTCTTTTTCTGACACTTAAATTTCAAGAAAAAGCTGCATTCTAGGGTACAATAATTATTGTACCTTTATGTACCTTTATATACATAACCCTATATACCGTAGCATACTGGTGAACCAAATAGGTGCACAGATTCTATTTTGTACGGCATACACAAAAGTGCAATTATTATGCACCCAGTATTTCCAGCGCTGATGTTCACGAGGTACATTGTACACAACCTTGTAATGTTCTGTGTGGTGAAAACTTATTTCAATCACCCTGCCCTTACATTGTGTAATAAGTGTGGGTAATACAACACTTCACCTATATCATTTGATTAGAGTTATACGGCTAGCTTTAAAGCATTGTCTCATCAAAACGTGTTCTTACGGGAGATTGCAACAAGAATCGTGACCTGGAATTTGCACCAGTGACCTTGGCGTTACTACACTACAAAATAGCCAAGTTGTAATCCATAAACCAGTGGCGGAATTTTTTCAGCTGGCCAAATTGGTAGTTTCTTTTATACTGTTACCACCTGGTAGGTATAAAAGAAATGATGTCAATTATTTCTGGACAGTTTTTAGTGTGATCCATACTTCCTAAATTTTGAGTGGTGCAGGTACAAATGTAATACAATGTAGTAACCTTATAATTTTCAATGTTATGTGCCTTGGAGAAAATTTCTGGTATCTAGAAAAAAGGATTTTGGGCCCTGGTTGTGCAATAAAGTTCTCCTCCAGTTCTTATTTTTTATGTATGCATAGCCATCTTTCTGAGCAAGAATTACCAGTGTGGCAAGCATGATGGTAATACATGATTAGAGCCAACACCAAACACATAACCCAGCCTATGTGCTGGGTTAATCCTCAGCTTAAAGTGGCTCCAGTCCCACCATTCTGGTGCGCAGCAAATTGCCTTTTATCTAGAGTTAACCAGACCCAAACATTTGTACACGTCACATTAGAGGCCTACCGCACTTTGTTTAAAGGAGCTTTACGGTGAAATATAGTGTATATGTCAGTGCCTCCATGTTTTTTCATCACATTTTCTGGCTCCTGTACAGTAAATGCGATTACTTTCACATTGGTCTTATATTCATGGTTTTCTCTGTGTCGTCTAACGGGAAATACTACACTAAAAATATGTGTTTTTCACAGATCTATTTTCATTGTACTTCAGAATTGCTTCAATGATGAACTTCAAACGCTGTAAAAACATCCCTTTTCCTTCTACCGTGAAATAGTCACAATCTACACTAAACACGGCTCAAGTAAAATGATACATGTATTTTAGTACAAATATATACCTGTTGATCTAACGTTTTCTAGTATCACAAATCGACTTTAAAAAAGTGATCTCAAGACTCAAGAATTATTTATTGATCAATGTCTGTATAGTCTAGGCTTTTTTTGGGCAACATACACATATCTTCATACGGAGACAAGCGTAACTGCCATCATGGCTTTCTCTGGCACATTAACTAGCCAATCCACCTCCCGGGCAACATGATGAAAAGGAAGAGACGAGTGGAAATCTGAACACAAACTGCTGCCTGACAATCTGATAGACCTGCCAGTAGTGCTGAATAGCAGCTGTTCTGTAATCATACCATCAATCAACACCTGTACAATAGAGAGAAACCCCTACGGCCTTCTCCACCACAAATGAAAAGCTACTGGAATGTTTTTTTTTCGTACCATTCACAGATATTAAGTGCAATTGGTTTGCTCTATGTGCCATGTTACCTGTATACTCTTTATTTTTATTTAGACACACTGTGACACCAAAGATTTGACAGATCACAAAGATTTGACAGATCACTGAATAACTTTAATAGGAAAAGACCAAATTTTTGTTACAGTTTGTGTGTTTTGTTGTGCCTTTTGCTAAATTCATTTATACATCTTTCATCGTAAACCAATTATGACAATATTATGAAATCAGGGGTCATGCAAATTCAGTTTTAGTCACCGAACAGTCGCTGAGTGATTGCCTTTTCAGCCATTTACAAATACATGCAAAGCCGAAAGATTTTTTTCTGAAATTGGTGGTTTTGCTTCAGTGAATGCCTTTGATGATAAAAGACATAGCTTTAACCAAATCCCTTTAAATCATGTGCCAATCCTTTTAGTTTTACCAAAAGGAATATGAGGACTTATAGCTTAAAAATTTCTAAAACATGCATTTCAAATGCTTTTATTGAGCGGCGTATCATCTAATACATAGTTGAGGTTAAGTGCATTCTTGGTCTAAAAGTGTCCGGAAGGTGCTTTTGAGAAATGACTTGATTGATGTCCCACGATGTGTGAAATCATCTACATTTTGTAATGGTTAGAAATCCCTCTTCTGGGCCAAGAGGTCGTTATGAAATCCTGGAGTAGATACTTTGGTTTTGTATAATCCCAAATGTGGGTTGCAGACCTTTAAAGGTATTATGGCATTAAACTGTTGGGTCTAGGTGTTAGATCTCTACCAAGAACCAATATCCAAACTGTTTCAGGATAGGCTACTGGGAACCAAAGATCTCATACCTCCATGAAATGTTCAGAGTTTTTGTGAATTTATTGTTTTACTTATCATTGTCAATTTCCTGCTGATTCTGTCCATGCATTTTCCTGCTGACTCTCATAAGGCAACAGACTTGCATATAGCAGGAAATTGAAGACATGAAATGAGATAGCCTTTTCTGGGACCTTTGACCCAACTTCCTGTAAGTGTCCACAATGTGCCTACCATGTTGAAATAAATACCAGAACACAAGCAAACAGACAGACACACTGACAACTATGCGCCTGGTCAGAGTAAGTGGGCAGTACATGGAGGAATTCAAGATGTATTGGAATACCCAATAAATTACATTAACAACCCCTCTATTATTCCAATATAAACATGAAAACCCAAAACACATCCCGGAGGTCTGTGAACCAAGGTCTCAAAAACCCAGAATACTTTCCAGAAGTCTGTATCTCTGCTTTCTTGTTCTCACCTGAAAGTAACCCATATATATAGACTGGTTTATTGTTGGTGAACAAATAAATCCCAGGACCCACTGGCAGCGTAGATACATTTGGCTGAATTGTTGGGTCTGGTTACAAAATACAATTTACAATTGTAACCAAAATGCAATTAGAATTGTAACCCTTACCTTGACCTGTCCTGAGGGTGAAACAAGTAAACACCATCCTGGTACTTCTCCGGACTGCAGGTGTCTCTGTCCAGGTTAGCTAACGCACGAGCAGCGTGGGTGACCAGCGAGATGTGGTCACTCTTCATCAGAGATGCTAGAACCGTCACCCACCCTGTTTAACAAAAATGCAGCATATTTCTCTTAGAGAAACTTAAGACCTTTACGCCACACCAATTTAATTTGTTGCTTCTCGGATTCGCCGCTACATTTTTTGCATTTTCAAAAAAAAATAAAAATTGCCGGAGTTGAGAACTTTAACACAAAAAATCCCCATTGAAAATCTCCATTTGAAATTGCCACTGAAAATGCCCATAGAAAGTTACACCAATCAGAGACCTTCTTTATTACAGCCTTACATATTCACCCTAGACTTCTTGTAATTTTTTTTTTCGCCCTGTCGCTGAAATTTTTTTCTGAAAACATCCGAGAAGCAACAAATTAAATTAGTGTGGCCTTAACAATGCCTACAGATGTATAGACTGACTAGAAATCAGAACTTCTTGCTGATTTTGTCTACGCATGTTCCCACTGGCTTCCACAAGCAGGAACCTAAAGACAGAAAACAAGGTCACCTTTGTACAATTAATTTTCTCCCAGCCTTTGGAGAGGCCATTTTGACCTTCAACTAAATTTTCCTGTAAATCTGGGGATACATCCTTCCCCTCACTTTCTATCACAGTGACTCTACATGTTGAACTTGGTCCTTTTACCCCAGGTGCTGTATTCAAACAACACACAAGCAAACATGCAACAGTACATGAAGGTAAGAGCACTATCTATCAGTCTGGGAACAAAGTTATTTTGACAGTAAGGACAAGACACATTTCATTTTGAATTTGGTTGCAGCCAAAATATATTCAGAGCAGTAAGATGAACGCTGTTCCTACCGGCTTGTATGATTTGTCGGTGCAGGTGTTCGTGTACGGCGAGGTTTCCGATGACTCGTACGATGTTGCGGAGGATTTTCTGAGCGGAGTGGTTCCTGGACCTGTACGCTCTCTGCAGCAGCTGTAAGCCTCCCAGCCGCACAATGTCTGAACAGTGGGACGGCACCTGGTTTGATGTAAAGGAACAGCTGTGTACATGCTTACTACTTTCAGGTACCGAAGTACTATACATGTGTATAATAATTGATTTCAGTGGGTAGTTTGTGTGGATGCTTGTCTGGACAGAAAGGGTTGACAGCATATGGGTGGGGGAAGATTGACAGGCAGAAGGACAGGTCTAAAGGTACAGGAAAAGACACAGAATCCATTGGGCAAATGTGGGGGAATTCAGGAAGCAGAATCCACAGTGTCACTGATACTCAGCACCAAGGACAGGACCTACCATGTTATCATGATTGTCATTGCATGTCAGTTAACGTGGCATTATTAAGCAAATTACGGGTTAAACTCTTGCTCTATCATAACAAGCTTCTCTAATCCTGTTTTTCTTCTGACTTTAGACTTAATCACTACATGTATGTATGTATGTATGGGACCTCTAGAATGCCTACAAATGTAATGTCTGCTAACATGTGATGCAACCAGGTTACATAGTTGTAAAATTTGAGATATTCTTGATAGAGAAAAATTATGTGATTGAGATGTACTATTGGTACCACTTTTCATCATATTTCCTTCATTATCTCTGACATTCATGATTAGTGCAGAAACAGTCAACACCAGGCACACTGATTTTGTGCTAAATATACTTGCACTTTTACTCCCTGAAAGGCATTATGTAATGTAATAGTGTGATTACAAGTTACTTTGTAAAAGGAAATGGCTGCAAAATTGACTTTTTGCATTGTCCTCGTGTTATATTATGTTGCTTTCATGGAATATTGAGGTATTTGTGGGACTATCTGTCTGCAGCATGGAAAGTATCTTAAAGGCACCCAAAGCAATTTCAGGGAAGTAAAACTGGATTCTCAAAGTCAATTTTCTGGTCATTTTTGTTAATGTAACAAGTTAAATGAACCCTATTCAATAGCATACTCTGATATATGTGAGGCAAAAATATTATGTCACCAATGGAATAGTTGCCTGTTTTGTATTCTAGTATTCTGTTCTAGCTTTTTATAGGTGGTACCATAAAAGGGAGTCCTAATGTAGGTTGTTTTAGGGCTATCTAAAATGCATGAAATGATGAAGAAAATGTGCTAAGAAATGGCAAATGTCAATATCTGATAGACTTCCTCATTCAAAATATACATTTACATGTATTTGGATATTGCCTTTAACTGTCCGTGAATGCGAATGCTTTTCAGCACCAGGGACAGGAGCCAAGATGTGGAATTGTATCTTATTGCATAACCTGGAATGAATTCCATACTGCTTGTTACAGACACCATACCATATGTAGAAACATTTTCAGGAGCAAGAAGCATGAAATGTGAACAATATGCAGTACACATAAATCACATGGTGTTAGTAAGAAATGACTAAGAATGCTTGTCAAAACCGATAACTGTTGTTGATATTAAACAATAAATGTTACTCAGCATCAAGAACTGTGAATACAGTAAAATGGTGTGAAACCAATGTAAACAGGAAAATGACAATTATACACCTCAGTGAATATCTTGCTGATTCTATATACAATGTATTTTTTACTAGCTTCCATGCATTTTACGCAATGAATACAACAGGAAATGGAAGACAGGAAATGAGGTTAATTTTATGAAATTCACTTCCTCCCAGCCAGCAGGGATACCATTTTGACATCCCATGTCCCACCCTCCTGTCAATCTGAGGTTATATAATTTCTTCCTGTTACACTCCTCCTGGAGCATTTAAAGTAAGTTCTATTACAACAACAACCTAACTGTAATGAGACAGGTCCGGTGGATACACGAGGTGGATTGTGGTTGTCTTGTGGTTAGGGTTGTTTACTCTGCATGTTCTGATTACAAATCCCTGGCAGGCCCCAGTGTTGTGTCCTTGGGAGAGGCATTTTACATATATTTCCTGGACTCAGGTGACAATGAGTACCTAGCTTTGGTTTGTTTGAGAAGAGCAACACCTCACGCAAGATCCCACCATACTTATCAAAAAGGGCAGGGGTCCTTCCCGGTGTGAGTGGTTCAAACCTTACAGTCTGGCCTAAGGGTTGACATCTTGAAAAGGTGACAGTCACCTGCTGCGGGATTTACCACAACAAGTGGTAATTCCTGATGAACAGATAACACAGTACACAGGAAGTGTGACCTACCTTAGAGTGTTTGACTAATGCCTGGAGACAGAAGGACAAGACTTTCTCCTCAGGAACGTTGCTGAGACTTTGTGCAAAGGACAGTCCGTTACCTCCAAAACACCACAATCCTCCCTAAAATCATACATGTAGATGGCAGTTTGAGAGTTTTAAAATTTAAGTTTTTAAATGCGGTGTGGCATATAGAACTGTGGTCAGTGCATTAACAATAGTCCTCAGTGAGGGCTTAGTCACATACGTCATGCAAATGTCTTACCGTACAACTGCAAAGTGAGTTCATTCTTGGTACAGTTGTGCATGTGTCATACAAAATTCATCTGCTTTGTTATAGAAAAGGTTCTAATACTAATAGATCCTTACCAGTGGTCACCGTTAGTTCTGTCACAGCCTACTTGAAAATCTACCGTAAGACAACCTACGGCAAATGTGACGGTGCTAAAAAGGGCTTGAGCTTAGCCAATCTAGGTAACTTCATAGACAAAAACATTTGACTCAATTTAAACCTACAGTCAGCTATATACTTACCACCTACATAGATGTCGTAAGTCATATTGCAGCAGGAGAGGAAAGACATTGTTTTTTCAGGATTAGCATTACCGGATAGTGTAAATCATGTCTTATCTACAAAAGATTCAGCAACACAAATACAACAACAGGTCATATCAAAGTGGCAAGGTTCATAAGACATGGCACAGTTCACATTCAGCTGAGAATGTTAAGGCAGTGAGTGGTAAAAGCAAATTAATCAGGTTTGTATAGCAAAGAGTTGTATAGCAGAAAGGCTAATGATGATGATTACCCTGTCTTCAGCAAATGCTGCCCTGCCATGTTGCATGGCCTTTGATGTGAAGTGCAGGGTGCATTTGTCCATCCCATCCCGAGGTAAAGAGCCTAAAAGTGACCTCAGCTCATCTTCAAGCAGGCCCTAAGGTGCAAAAAGGTGCAATGTCTCACTATATATCAAACCTACACCTGGAAATTGTTGTTCATAAGGCCATGTTGGTTTGATTATATGGATGGCTTCTGCATGCGCCTGCATGAATTTTCGTCTGTTTCCGAAAAATGAAGTTTTCATCCATACTGTAAGTTGTACAAAGCAGGCAGCAAAATGAACTTTTTTTCATTCGCACGCTTGCATCAGCTTTGGAGTTCCCAAAGGATGTCATCCATATAATGAAATCAACATGGCCTAAGTTTTAAAAAATGCAATTTATACTCCCCATGGCGTCATTTTGTGAGCCAACCTTTGAAGACATGACACCATCAGATTAACTTATGCCCCAATTCTGTGCCAACAAAAAAAAAACCTGAGTGTTTCACAATAAGATTTAACACTGCAGGACCTACGCACTGTAATGTGCCTAGATGAATCCCAGCGCCATGCCATAACCATAAATTCTAAAGTGGAAGAGCTGAAATCCCCCAGTATATACACACGCACTCTACCAAATCTCACCTTCTGCAATGGGATGGTAATCAGTACATTCAATATAGCCGACTAAGATAAATGTTTCAAGTAAAAATGTTCCAGTCCTGTACATTGAATTCAACACGTTCTTGTATCTTACTCTTACCACATTGAGTATTAATGAAAAGTAATGACAACCAAGGTAGACACTTACTGTTACCATTTAATTCTTAAATTGGCTTTATTCCTAAAGATTAAAATAGGGGTAACAGACTACATAGCAACAATATTTGTGACCAACTTACACCTGTTTTGGGTGGAGAGGGGGGTGGTAAGAAAAATCTGGAGTCTGGATCATGTGACCTGGCTAGACCAATTAGGGTCCGGTTGTCGAGCGCCTGTGCAACTGCCCGGTAATCCGAATCTGTCAGAAATGTGAAGGGAAGAAATGTCAACAGATGAACAAGTCATGACTTTCTTTAAAAGGTTTTCTACTAGGACAAATTGAATATATCTTTTAGCAGGTATAAAAGAAGAGCACAATATAACAGCCCTATACCTAGAGTTGGTAAGTACAGATTGTGCTTTAGGACATCACATTCACTACAAGAAATCAGAGATTTCAGATTTCCGGGAAGTATTTTGGGGATTTCTTGACTTTCAAGTTCACCCCATTTCTGGTGTCTGTCCTTTTGATCTCCTGTCATTCTGCCTGTCAATCTTACCTCCACCCATGTATAGAGCTTATTCACCACACGTCATCATGACGTCACCACCCCTCATGTCCCGTGCGACGCCATTCTGGGGTTCACCTCTACAGTGAGTTTCCAAGCGTTGAAATGGCCGACAAACGTTAGGTAAACTGTCCTTTGTCCTATTACACGAAGACTTTACCACCACTCATACCTCTCGTTACTGGAACAAAATAAAATCTGTTGGGATTGACCCGTTTTTGTTGAGTTTTGATCAGTCTGATCGAGACGGCGTCTACCGCCAGCGGAGTCCATTGACGCGACTAAGCTTCGTATTTGGTACTCACGGGGCAGAAGTTTTTACACACAGGATCGGTTCAAACCCTTTAAGAGTCTGAAAGCGTTTGATTTGATTTGATCGTTGTATCAGGATGTGTAGAGAGTGTTGTGGGACGTGCAGTTTCGTGGTGAAGTACGTTGTAGACTGTCGGGATACGCAAAGGTCGCTATTTTGGAACAGCCCCGGACTGTGTCTGGATAATAACAAACAAATGCGGGGCCATCGGCCGCCGACCGGCCGCCATCCACAGTCCGCACTGCCGCGACTGTGGCTGAACAAGGTGAGTGTTACAAGTTGCCAGGGCCCTGTTCTACGTGGACATTTACCACAGAGTAAAAGGACAGGTAGCTCCAACAGATACGTGGCCATGGCTACCCACATTGACATCTACAGGCCCCTACGCCAGGGTAAAACACACCGATTTCTGATCAGCAAAAAAAGCCGATAAAAGCCGATCTTGAGAACATGAGACGTGGTCATGGAGCCAGAACAACCCCAAGGACAATGTTACGAACAAGAAGAGTGTTCAAAACGTAGATTGTGGCCCAAAACACGCAACTATCGCCAAGAGTTTGCATAGCGTACCATAGCGATAGGCACCG